GATCGGCTTTCACCGTGGACGAAGCGGAGTCCAGCCCGGAGTCGTCACATGTGGTTGCCGCAAGCCTCCTTCGTCAAAATCGCCGGCCACGCCGTTCTCAAGCCCGCGCCTCTGCTCACTTTAGCCCTCCCGCCGTTCCTCACGCTAGCCCCCGGCCTCTGCTCACTGTAGGCCGCGGTGTGTGACGCTGTTTCATTGTGAAAGTGAAACTACTTTGTTTGGTTTGAATCATCGCTCCGGCCGGACATGGCATCAGCAGTATGTGAGGGGCGTAACATTTCTGTCTCACGCTTGAGGTATTCGGCCAATCATAACGCACTGGATAGCTGGCCAATCACAGCACACCTCGCTTTTCAGACCGATGAGCTTTGTAAACATCGACACGTTTCAAAAAGGCGGGGCATAGAGGAGAAACAATAATGTACAGTATGTGGAAAATAATGTGTTTTTTTAACCTTAAACCACATAAATACATTTCATTACACCAAATACACAAAATAATGTTCTTTTTAGCAACATCATATGACCATTTAAGACAGGAACAGTGAAAAAGTGTTTTGTATGAGAAGTGCATTAAAAGGTAAGTTAACCCTTTAGAACCTGAAGCTAAAATAAGTCGTTTTTATTTAGAAAAAAAATCAGAAAGCACATGGACGGAAGAATCTAACAATTCAAACTTGAAAACTGGACTATATAATATATATATAGAAGTCTTTTTGTGACACTAGGTTTCACAGTTTTCACTCGGAAAGCTTTTTGTAGCACATACGCACATGCACACATATAAATTCACACGTACAAATGCCGCATATACTGACACACACAGCGCATGCCAAGATGTCGGTTTGACAAGTCCCGCTTCCTCCTTCCATATCTCATAAAATACAGCCGGTTTAATAGGGTTAAGTGCTGATGGAAAAGTTGTGTCGGCTTTGCTTGACTATATACCATCATCACTGCCTTGGCAGTCTCCACCCTAGCCAGTGGAGAAAGAACAGAAAATCAATGAAAAATGTTTTTCTATCTTTCAGTCTTGCAGACTGCAATATCACTGATCAGTGCTGTGAAACTGTGGCCTCAGCTCTACAATTATCAGACTCTCCCCTGAGAGAGCTGGACCTGAGTAACAATGACCTGCGGGATTCAGGAGTGAAGCTGCTCTCTACTGGACTAATGAGTCCAAACTGTCAACTGCAGATACTGAGGTATTTAGGAATTAAATGTAGATTAAAATAAAACCTGAAGTTAAAATATATAGTGTATATATATATATATATATATATATATATAGTATATAGTCACATCTCAAATCAGCTACATGTTTCTAGCAATTGTTGCAAATTGTTGCGGACTGTAGACTGTTCGAATAACCTCAACTCGATGTCTGTTTTTAAAGATTGTCTGGCTGTATGGTGACACAGGAGGGCTGTTCTCATCTGGCCTCAGCTCTGAGTTCAAACCCCTCACATCTGAGAGAGCTGGATCTGAGCTACAATGACCCAGGAGATTCAGGAGTGAAGCTGCTCTCTGAGAGACGGAGCCATCCAAACTGCAAACTAGAGATACTCAAGTATGTAGCATAACAGTGATGATGTGATCTGTGTAAACTAAGTTATGACTGTGTAAAATAGTTAACTATTATTATTATTATTATTATTATTACAAATAAAAACATCCAAAATATAGCCAAAGTAATATTTTTTCAGATTTAGTTAACTTCTGGAAACAAAGTATTCACACCTAGGTCATGACTCCCACTTTTTATATTAGAACATATTCTTAACCAATTGAAAAAATAACAGCTTGCACTGTTGTCAAAATTCAAATGCTTGGCACAAATGTAATATTGTGTTCTTGTAGTTTGGACCATGGAGGACATTTCAGAATCACACCAGGACTACACAAATGTAGGTCATTTTGTTGTTTTACACACACACATACACACACACTCTCACACACACACAAACACGCTCTCACACACACACTCACACAAACACGCTCTCACACACACACACACACACACACATACTTGTATTTGTGGTTTACGGGGACTCTCCATAGGCGTAATGGTTTTTCTACTGTACAGAAGGCTGTCATAGATTAGAAGAGATATAATTAAAATCTCTCTCCTTGTGCGCAGACACCTGTAATCTCACACTGGACATAAACACAGCAAACAACCATCTCTCTCTGTCTGAGGGGGAAAAAAAGGCGACACGAGTGGAAGAGGAGCTGCCTTATTCTGATCACCCAGAGAGATTTGACTGCTTTGAACAAGTTTTGTGCAGAGAGAGTCTATCTGAACGCCATTACTGGGAGGCTGAGTGGAGTGCGAGGGGAGCTGGATTGTCAGTGATGTATAAGGGAATCCAAAGAACGGGAAGCGACTGTAGGTTTGGCCTCAATGAAATGTCCTGGAGTCTGATCTGCTTTGATAACAAATACTCTGCCTGGCACAGCAATAAGAGAACCAACTTGCTTGCCCCTTCTCCCTCCTCTAATAGAGTGGGAGTGTATCTGGACTGGCCAGCCGGCAAGCTGTCCTTCTACAGTGTGTCTGACACACACACACTTATTCACTTACACACATACCACGCCACATTTACCGAGCCCCTCTATGCTGGAATTAGGCTTTATCCAGATTCTTCAGTTTCACTGTGTTAGAATGAAGAGCTTCGTAATATAGCGTAATATATATATATATATATTAGTATATATAGCACTTACTACCCAACTAACCAAAAACAGGAATGGAAATGTATGGAAACAAATAGTGGTGCAAGTCTCCATACTTGCTGAAAATAGCAACTTCAAACCTCAAAACTGGTCCAATTGAAGAAATCTCACAAGAATGTTGCTGGTGGAATGACTGAGACTTAGCATTGTAAGTCTCATTTGTAAGTTGCTTTGGATAAAAGCGTCTGCTAAATGATAAAATGTGAATGTAAATATGATGCTCAGATGAAAAGTCAAGAGAAGATGCTCAGAAATGTCAAGATAAATAATAAGAGCATAGTCAGTCAATAAATGTTTATAAGTGTTGATATAATAATTTGTTGCCTTGGAGCCCCCAGACTTTGAAAATATTTACACAATTATATTGTTTAGTCTACAAATGTCTGCTGTAAGTAAAAAAAAAAAAGAGGATTCTCAAATGATTAAAAAAAATATATATATATTTGCAAAATAACGTGCATAAAAATTTTCTGTGGCAGCGTTTCACACAGTAATCACTTATATGTAAAATAGCAGATCATGTGGCAAAACATGGTGGTTATGGTTATGCAAAATAACATGCAACCAACCTCAGGACATAAGCGAAACAATATTATCTCAAATTTGCTAAATCTAAACTACATTTACATTTATGCATTTAGCATACACTTTTATCCAAAGTGACTTGCAAAAGAGGAACAAAGCAATGCATCAAAGAGCCAGCTGTCGTTGTAGTACTGTACACAATGCCAGTTTTATTAGTCTAGATTAGGAAACCAGCATACAAACTAAGTACACGAATCATCCAAATGTTTGCTATTCGAGTATTTAAGCAGTGATCTAGACCGCTAACTCAGGTCACTTTAATTAAATATAAATATAATGATGATATAAATATAATCATTAAAATTAATGATGGTGATGTGTACAAAAAAGTGTGTACATGTGGTCAGAAAAAAACTTGACTTAGACTTCCTCTGCTTGATGTGCTTAAACTTTTTCCCTTTGTTCCGTGGAGGAAACCAAGTTTCTTCAGTGTTAATCATGTGTTTTAACTACAGCTATTATAAAGTATGTGTGTTGTTACTTTTGTCACGTCATGGACTGTTTTGTGTTTGTTTTCCTCCACGTGTTCCATGTTTTCCATGACCTAGTTTCTCCCGGGTTTCCTGCCCATATTTGGTTTTCCTGTTCCTGTTCCCATTGAGTTCCATTTGTTTCAGCTGTGTCCCGGTAATCTCCTCGTTTAGTTCTGAGTACTTAAGCCCTGTGTTTTCCCATGTCTAGCGTCCAGTGTGAACGTCTATGTTGTGCTACATGTGTCTCCAGCCAGCCCTGTATTACCCTAGGTTTATTTATTAAAGACCGTTGTTCGTATTTATCCTTCGTCTCCGCGTTCCTTGCTCCTCTCCGTAGGCAATCGTGACAGAACACTGGACCTGAAACAATAAGCGACGCCCCCTCTCCTCATTTTGGTTTCCGTTTTGAAAGTGTTTTGTTTTCCGTGCCCCCCCCGCCCGAATCATGGATAATGCCGCAAAATTCTCCGCCCTAGCCTGCAGGGATCTCACCTTTTGTCGAGTTTATGGAGAATTCTGCGGGCTCGCCATTATGACGGCGCTGGATGACGCAACGCTGAATTCTCTGTTCTGGATTGGGGCCAACTACCATCGCCCCGTCGACCTCCCAGACACCACCGGACTGAGCTGGAGGGAGGCGATTATCCGGTGTCTGGAGAGTGTCCTGCCCCAATCCAGAGCACAGCCAGACCCAGAGCCCAGCCTACCATCTCCCCAC